TAACGATATGCACAGAATAAGTAACTGCTTACTAGCAATAAAACAATGTTGTTGTCCTTCCACTTCTTATTATTTCACCTTTCACCTAAATATCTAATCTATATCTAAATATTTCCCATAATTGCATTTATTGTTTAACATTGATCAGTGGTTATTTAACATCACTGATTTGCTCAATAGCAACAAAGTTATACATAAGTGTTACCTGTGTTTAATTTATTTTTAACAGTTACTCCAATCCCATACATGTTCACGCAGTCATCAACACACACCTACACACACACACACACACACACACACGCCTACAAACACACACACACACCTACACACACACGCACACACACACACACACACACACACGGGCCTGCACCAGTATCATTACAGGGACAGTTCAGCGGACCAGTGGGTCAGTGCTCAGCTGCTTGAGACAGAATTAGAATGGTTAACAGCTGAGCTTCTCATGCATGATATCATGTGACCTTTCCCACCCACAGGCCCAAAGACGCACAGAGTTAACGTGACCATTTCCAATTTCTACAACGTCTAACATGGATGAGTGTTTATGTCTTCCTATATGTTTGTGTTGCTGTACAGTGTTTTCTGTAAGAGAAATCTGTTAGTAAACTTCACCTCCAACCTGCTGCTGGTAGCCAAGCCTTTATGTTTGGACCTGCTCACTCTGGCCTCTGTCCTTCCTCTTTCTCCTTTGACCCACTTAGGCATTTTTATTCTTATATGGAGCGCTGTTTTCAGAGGTGAAGAGACAGAACACCTCTGGTAGTTTCGACTCAGGCAGTGAGAATGTATCAAGCCACCCACCTTACCTGTGATGAAAGGAACAGCTTCTGTAGCACATTTGGGATTGTTCAGATGTATTGTTTTCTTGTCTGCAGAATAACAGAGTGGCTTTTTTTTCAGGGTCTGTCAGCAAAGCATGTAAGGCTGAAAGGGCTGAGCGCTGCACTAGCCATTACTCTTCTGAGTCACCTATGAAAGGTCTTACAAGCCTCTCCACTACTGTTAGCGGCAACATTTTAACTCACAGTTCAGTCAGATTTTTTTGTTTTTTACTCCTGCAACCTTCCGAGACACTAATAGCAAACAGCAGACCAGAACTCTATTTAAAGTGACACATCAGTGTCCAATAGCATTCAATAGCGTTTGTGTTTTTTATCGAGATTTTCTGTGATACAGAAAATCACAGTGAAACATGGTGGTAACAGTATTATGCTGTGGGGATGCTTTTCTTCAGTACGGACACAAAAACTGGTCAAAATTGGTGGAGCCACAGTCAAACATAAACAATCTGTTAATTGCTGCAAAAGACTTGATACTGGGAGAACGTTTTACCTTCCAGTAGAACAGCAACAATGAAATGGTTTATTCCAAAGCATATTCAAATGCTGCAACAACAAAGTTCAGATTTAACAGAGAAGTTGTGGCCAGACTTGAAAATATATTTGAAGAGATGGTATCCGTCCAGCCCCTAAAGGGAGGCTAAATATAAATGCCACACAGTTTTTAGTTGGGGACGACACATTTAGAGCCCCAAACTTTAAACCATTAATTCATCTCACAGGTACATGGCACTCTATGTGAATCTATCAAACAAAATCCTATTGAAATACTGGATGCAAAAATAAACAAAAAGTGAAAAAGGATATTTTAATTTTGCTATCAGCAACTAATCTTTAAAACATGGCTCACATGTGTCCAACATGTGTGTAATCCTATCTGAAGCTGAAGCGAAGCATCCTGCAGTGCCATGAGTGTTTCTGCATGGTAACATGAGCAGCCTATAACATAACTCTAAATGCAGAGTCACAGCTGTGCTTCTGTGTGCAAAACTGCCTGAAAGTGTGTGATTAACATCTCAAACAGAAAGAAAGAAATGAAACTGTGTGGAACTGCTTGGCTTATTAAAATAAATTACAGGTGAAAAAGTGACTCCACGGAGTCAAATATCTGAGCTAATTTTACTGCATGTTTGAAGCCTGATGAGTGCAGCGTGTGTGCGGTGCATCGAGGGGGATGGGTCACAACAGGAATTAGGTAATATTGACACGGTTGCTTCAAGCCCTCCCTCCCAACAACACTCAGATCAATGCACCGGATCAATAGAAGTCATTGGCAATAACTGAACTTCTCATGTGATCACTGAAGGAGAAAATTCAAAAAAATCTGCCCTCACATGTGTCCCAGCACGCCCATTCATCAAACTGAGGGCTTCCAGTCTCCCAAGTGGGATGACACTCCAATGCACCTCTGCACACACTGATAAATATATTTAAATATATATGTTATATTTATGCACGTATATGTGCACACACAGCAGGGATCATTATGCTCTTCTCTGACACTGCATGATTGGTCACTTTTCCCTCTCCTCTCTCTCTTTCCCTTCCTGCTAGAATAGTTTGAACAAAAGACAGAAGGGGGAGGAGGTGGGTGCATGGTTGGGGGAGGGGATGTGTGTGTGTGTGTGTGTGTGTGTGTGTGTGTGTGTGTGTGTGTGTGTGTGTGTGTGTGTGTGTGTGGGGGGGGGGGGGGGGGTTAGGCTCTGTTGTCACCAGGAGGGAGGGACGGAGGTGGGAGTCAGATGGGGGAGGGAGAGTGGGAGAGAAGAGGATAGGGTCCCACAAGTGAGAGAGAGAGAGAGAGAGAGAGAGAGAGAGAGAGAGAGAGAGAGAGAGCGATCCCCCCTCCTGAACACACAACTACAATCCCGTTTACATCGACTCCCCCCTGCTGTATTTTGAGGAATATTGGATTACTTTCCGCACCGGAGCACTAACCGAGCACATCCAGGGATGGTCAGGTCTGTAAGCATTTCCTCATTTGTTGAGAAAGTTGTTTTTATCCCCCTAAAAGATGCAAATAGAACCTCCGCTTCTTGCGCATTTCTGTCCATCCATTTATGTTTCTTTTTGCACACTTTTTTTTTCAGTTTGCCTTTTTGCACCCACTGCCCGTCATTTTCTTTCTCGTCGTCCTTCTAAACGCGTCACTTCAGTCTGTCTGTTTTCGCTCGGGCTTGACTTTCTTTACAGAAACGGAAAATCTGTGTCAGGCAGGAGAAAGTTCTCTTTAAAGGAAGAGTGCAAAGTTCTGCTTGCAGTGATATGGTTCCGAGTTTTGGGGTTTGAAAGAGCGATGTTTGTTTTTCTTTGCACAGTAAAGTGAAAATAAGGCCGAGAACGAGAATATATGCGCATGACAACCCCAGCAAATGGCATCTTTATACGTGCGGGTCTTTTTTTTCCCTCCACTTTCCAAAACTTGACCGCATTAATAGAGCTTTGTGTGTCATTAAAAGAATAAAATGTTAGGATGTTTTCACGCCAAACGACGTAATATCTCCAAATGGCCTGAAATTTAAAGGTCGAAAAACATTCATATGTGGCTTCAGTGGCGCCACCAATGGGGGGCCAGAGGTGGGCAATAGTCACCCCTATAAATTTGCTTTACTCCAGCAAATGGCCAGACTGTTTTATGTGCAAATAATTTTTTACGCGTGAGTTTAAGACAGGAAAGGATGAGCTTATAAAAGTTGAGTACATGTCATTTATTTATTTTTTGATTTCTCCATATTGTCTCCTAAGTTATTTCTGAATCACACTTTTAGGTGAAAAATCAGAAGTTGTTTTGTATTTTAGTAATTCGGACACTACATTTCACTCGGGTTGAAAACAAAAATTACCTAATATATTAAATCAACTGATTATTGGTATGTAGGTACTTGAAAACAGGAAATTACAGACTATGAAGCTTTTAAAAATCCTTATTTTTATCAGTCCTAAGTTTGATATTATTTCCTTTTTCATTATAGGAGAAGTATAAAATAATTAACATTTACATTACATAATCAAGTTCTAGCCTTTGGATAACTTTCATCCTTTTATATTTTTCACATAAACAAAAAAGATTATTTAAAAAAAACACACTGTTGTTATTGCATAAATGCAGGATCCCTTTATTGCACATTAAAATTCACACTACACTTGCCAGTATTGGCACAGAGAATAAAACTCATGTTAATTCGACTATTTCACAGAAGCAAAGCAGAATAAAATGGCCTGTATGATTTACTTTCTTACAGGTTTGGATCTAAAAGTTTTCTACCAACCAAGCATCAGTCAATTTGTACCCATTATGTTTTGTGCCTGCTTTGGCTAAATCTAAACTAAATTAATTTATCCTAATCATAGTCTACAGTAGTATTTTTTTTTACACCAATGACATTTACCAGAAAGAGGTTCCTTAAAATATGGGTCTAAAACTAAAATCCCCATATGCCGGGTTCCTGCAACTTTTTGTGTCTTTGCTTCAACACACCTGACTAAAATAATGAGCTAATAATAAACCTCTGTTGAGCTTCACTAAATGCAAAGAAGGAGATGTAACCTTTTGCGTCAAGTGAGTGGGACCAGAAATATGAATAAAGTTGCAGCAACCTTTCTTCTTTGTTAGGCTGGAATATTTCACAAGTTTAATCTGCATCTGAACCAAAATAAGTCAAAATTGGGTGAAAATCTTTCAGATAAAATAGAAAACACCACTGAAATGCTAGTTATTATTGAGGTTTCTACATTATGATTGACTATTTCCATCATGCAAAGTGAATATTAAAGAAACACACAATTGCTTACGTACATGAATGGTTACTTTACGGCTATGAAACAGATGTAGGAAGGAGAAAAATGGGAACTTGTAACAATAAAAAGGTGTACAGTTTGGCAAAGGGTGAATTGACCTGAAGCCAAATGAAACTCCTGAATATCTGTCTTTTAATGTTGCTTTGCATTCTGAACATTTCTGTGTTACTCTTTACACAAAAGTACTCCTGCATAAATAGCATTGTGGCCGTTTCCCTCTTCAGGTGGTACGTTGGTGTTGAAGTGTGAGCTGAACCATGGAGCTGTACTTGAGGCTGGCCACTTGCAGAGACAGCAGCCACACAGTGTACAGCAGGATCGACTTGGGCCCCATCAGCATGCAGCTGGGTCCTCAGTAAGGACAAGTGGACCTGGTCCTCTCCTCTTCACCTGGGGCCAGGGCTGCAGAATGCTCAGTCCTGTCACCCCATACAGTAAGTTCTGGCAGTTTTTGGTGTGTGCAGATCCTCACCTTCAGGCTGTTTTTCTGTACTCGTTCTTCTTGTGGCTCATCTTTTGTCCGTCTCCTGTGGTTTGGTTAGAAGGAAGCAGGGAGGGAAATGAGAGGAGGGGGTGTCTTTGAGAAGTCATGTTGAGAAAGCAGAAATGCTAATGGTTTTAACAGCTGAGCCTCCAGGCTTCGTTTTGAGGAATTTCACAAAAAGTGTTCAGTTGCTGTTTTTCCAGCCTCTCCATGTGAACGGTGTACAGTTTAAACAGCTATTAGACTCCAAAACATGTTTTGCAGTAAAACAACTTGTGCATCTGTTGCGTTTTTGTTCAAAGAAAGCATCATTTATTTTGACTGTGCAGTTCTATGAACGAAAACAAGTATTTCCTGTTTAATCGGTAAATTCCAGGTTTTCAACTTGTTAAATTATTTTTAGGTGAAAAACCAACTCAGAATTAGGTAAGAATAAATATCACAGAGTGGGAGACAGTCACACCTGGAACGGAAACAAAACACAAAAACAAGGTTCCAGTTTTTCCAGACATAAGGCCAAAATCTATTTTCTTCTATTTGCATGAGACTGTTAAATATTATTAATGTAAATGCGTAGAGTTGATGGCACCAAAAAACAAGTTTTACTTGTTTTTACATGCTCATTTGGGCATGCGCTAAAAATACTTCAGAGAAAGTATTTGTATGTCTTTTTTTCTTTTTTGTACTTCATTGTAATCATAAAAAGAATGTATAATTTAAAGATTCTGAAAAAAATACAGATAACAGTTAAATCACAATTCTCTACACCACTATGACTTGAATTCTGGTTCCACAAGAGGGCGCATTGACATCGTAAGTACATTACAGTCCAATGAGTCTAATAAACAATTTTCACAATTATGATAATTATTATTCATTAAAGACATAACAGCTGTCTAGGAAAATAGGTTATTTTGCAGTAAATAATTTTTTTAACTGATATCAAAAATAATTGTGAATCTTTGCAGATCGACAGTATAGCAATTATCCAGAAACATTTGTTTTAGCGCATGTGCAAATGAGTTACTGGCACGGATTGCGCTTCCGGGTCAGATCGTGCAGCCACACTACCTATAGCTAGCACAAGCTAATGCTAGCTAATTTTTCAAATTGGTGCTTTGACCTAAGAAAATTTTATAAAGTCAATACAAATAAGCAATGTTGAGTAACAATTGATGCAAATATTTTAGACACTATGAATAAGTTGCCTTCATCTCTTCTTAAAACCCCTCAACTATCATGAGGACATCAGTGTTTGCATGTAAGTGTGTTAAAGGGTTAAACTGCTCATTTTTATGACACACATAAAGTAAAAGTGAATATATATATATATATATATATATATATATATAATTTTTTTTTTTTTTTTTTTTAACTTGCTAATTAGTGACATTTGTCACTTGAAGCAAATTGTTTCTAAAACCCAACCCAGTTTGCTGGTTCAGAGCCATTACCCAACCCAAAACATAGGTCCAGAATTTGGTTAGCAAAAAAAAAAAAAGACATTTTTTTCACCCCCCGAGTTTTAAGAGTCCAGGCTTTTTTCATATCCTTATATTGACCGACTGGGTTATTGATCAGGTCAAGCTTTAACAAGATTACAACACTAACCTGATTAGAATAAAGCAGAGGGAACTGCTTTCCATGTCTATGCATTGTGAATCAGTCAGAAAAATGCCCTGTAGAATGAGGGAGTTGTCTGAGTAGATAGTTTTTGGTAACATGCATTTGTCACATTCCTTCTTCAAAGTGACTCACAGCATTGTGTTAGTTCTCCTTCGTCTTGACTAAATGCATTCCTAAGATAGTGTTCATTTGCTTTTTTTTCCCCCCTCAATAAAATCTGCCACACTGACCCATTAGGGATCGGTCTGCAAAAACAAACAAGTAAACATGTAATCACCATCGTCCCACACCTCATTAAGGGGGCTCTGTACATAATGATGATAGGGTGACGGCTAAGAGAGAATGATGAGGCATTTTAGCGCTTTTTAAGTCGGCAGTTACGGGGTGAAGCAGTCCTGTGAATGAAAGCCACATCGTTAGTAACCCGGTGTCAACAGCCTCTCATTAGCTTTGAATGGTGGGCCACATAAATGTCGGCCTCTACAAATGCATTACCCCTCTAACAGTAATCGTGACAGCTTGTTAAGAAAGCCGCACCCCACCGTAGATTCCTCATTAGGAGTTTAGGTAAAGATGGGAGCTGCGGCGACTGAGGAACAAGCAAAGGGAAGGACAGATGGGGAAGACGCGAAGGGGAACTGGTCAGCTGCAGGGTTGATATATGAGTGGACACAATGAGCAGAGAAGAGGTGGGGGGGCACAGTCCAGCCTCTGCCACATGTGTGGAGCTAAAGGAGTGGGGGAGGGTATAAAAGTGACCACGCAGATATACTATTATAAGTATAAATGAAGTGAACATATTTAAAGCAGATTCTTATTAGTATTTGGATCACCAAACTGGATAAAACTGAACCTGGTGTGGTGCAGAGTTCACACTGTAGACTGGTTACACTTTGCACACCAGGAAAAAGGAGTAAAGAGAAGTTTGTCAAGTGGGAGAGTCCAATCTCCTTCACTTTGACATTGTGTTTTAGCCAGTGGTCACTGCATACATAACAAGGTAGCCCTCATTTACTGTGTAAGCAGGGACACAGACAAGCTTGGCAGTAATTATCTCAGTAACTCAGTAATTATTACATATTTCTAATGTGGACTTGAGCCAATTTCTTGTTTAAAGCTACACCAAGGTTCTAAAAAGTTAACGTTTCAAACTGAGATTTGAATTATAGCTTTTCCCTTTTGATATGCCAGAGAAAGTTCCTCAATTACCAGTGTTTTCCAGTTTCATACAGTAGTGATTCCCCTCTCCTGGCCATGGCTGTCCACTGACTGTCAGCTGGCTGAAATAAAACTATTTTTTCACTGGCTGATTCAGGGTACGAAAGCAAAGCCAGTCATGTTATGGAAACTGGGATAACGCCGCCTATATGTGTCATGTAAAACTATTGGCAGGGTGTGAATCAGCTCCAATCACAAAATCCCAACAGCTGACATGTCACCAGGATTGTCAGCATTTCCACTGTCCTTTTCCAAGATTTTGGAAATTTACCAAGTCTGCTGAGTCTATGGAAAAAGATATATGCATCTCAGGTTAGATTCCTGGCATGCCTGCAACCTGAATCATCCAGTGGTTGATCAGGAGTCCCTCTGCTTTCTGGCCATCCGAAGCCCAACGCTGCAGGACGAACCGCAATGTGCGAGTTCACTTTGCTGTTAGGGCTTTTCTGTGTGCGTGTGTGTGTGCGTGTGTGTATTTCCAAGTGTCTGTCCATCTTCAGGGGATCTCTTTGTTTATTGTGAGTGGAGAAAAAGCGCTAACAGAGACCCTTCAGCTAAAGAGGGGTGACTTTTTTTTTTTTTTTACTCATGCAGTCCAGGAGCCATCTCTGATGCCCCACAACCCCCAAATCCCATCACAGCAAAGCCCTTCCCCCATGCGTACTTCCATCTTATTAACCCCTAATTACTCATACTGACCATGCAGTGGATCGCCATTCAAACTGGAGTCCACTCAGACCCAGAGATCAAGAATAACTTGTATATCCTTGTGTCCTTGAAAGATAAAATCATGTACTTAGAGAAGAAAACATCCACAAATGTAAGTAACAATGGTGACAATGTGGATGTTTGGACTGAATGTCTGGAGGTTTCTTTCTTCATAATGCAGTTCTGTGGAAAAATGAACCTTAGTTCATTACTTACTGAAGAGAATAACTTTAAGAGAGCAGCAGCGACTCCTCCTGAACAACATCCAAAGCACTGCAGGACCCACTATTTCACATTTTCCAAAACATGTTGATTATCTCCAGTATCTTTGGAGAAACATTCTGTAGACCAACAACATGAAATTCACTTTTTTTAAATTCTCATACGTTCTGCGTGAAACTAATAAAGCATTTCAGGAAAAGAACATTGTGCCGACATCTAAACATGATCTGAGGTGTGATGATCTGAGGTGCTTTGCTGCTTCAGGACCTGGACACCTTGTAATCAATGGAGCCATTAATTCTGCTTTCTATCAGAAATTTTGAAACACACAAGTTATGCAGCAAGATAATTTCATGCATTATCTGCATCCTACAGTCAGATTGTTTCGGATATTTTTTTCAACTCGGGTTATCTTTGTCATATACTAAAAACTATTTGATTTTAAATATTTCTGTTGTCATGGTTAGATCTGCCACAATATGCAAACAGTCAATTAATTTCATGATAAATTAAAACAAGCTCAATCTTTTCTATTTGCTTGATTTATTGTTTTTCTCATTTCTCTCTCTCTTTCTACCAAAAACTGGATGCCAAAAGTCTTAACTCTAGTGCACCATTCTCAAGTAGTCTGGTCTTTGAATTAACTTCACTAATTATTATGAGCAGAAAAAACGTGAAATCTAAAAATCCTCCATGTATCGAATCCTGTTGTTAGACAGTGGATGTTTTAGGTATTTAAACACACAGCTGAAATAGGCTAAGCGAAGTGAAAGGTTGAAAGAATCATACCAAGATTTTTAGCTAAGAATGATTTATCTGATTTGAGATCTGAGATTTTTGAACAATTTCTGATCTACGGTTTTTGTCGAGGTTTGAGCAGCAGATGTTGATTTTTGTCAATTCTGATTTTCTTTTAACACGTATAAGAATTGGAACAGCCTTCGAAACCAGCTGTCCTGCCTCTCATGGCAGGACATGATTATTTATTTATGATTATTTATAATAGTATCACAGGCAATGGGATACCTGGAGTGAGAAAGCAGGTATCCCTATACTCATTATATTAGTAATGAGTACTAAAACAGCAAACTCTCTGTGTGTTTTTTTCAGAGAATGTTCTTAACAGTGAGATTTCCAAAATCTCACAGTTCCATGACAGACAAAAGTATTAAATCTCCACCTTCCTAAAACAATGGAAAAAGCTATTTTTGGGGGGGCCTTAAATGATTTTGGCCAAAAAAATAAAAATAAAATCTACCTCTACCTCTATATTGCCAAAAGACATTTAGACAAAAAAATAAATAAAATGACCGACCGGCTGATGAAATACTGTTTATCCTCCCTGTTATCTGTGAAAGGTCAAGCTTGTGCTCTTCTGCAAGCTGAATGGGATTGGTCCAAGCTTTTCAAACTGATTTATTAATCTGCATTAGACCGCTGTCTGTCCAGGACTGCAGATTCAGTGAGTAGATCTGCAGAAGCTGACTTCAGACTAATGGGTCCAAACATATTGACTTCTTCTTTATTTCAACAATATCAATATCCTACCTTATTCAGCTGTTCTTTGAAATACATTAAGCTTCAAGAGTAAGCAGTGGAAATTTGAGTTGCATGTATACAATGTAAGAAAAAAAACCTTTCTAATTTACGATAAAATTCTGGTGACCACAGCTGCTGATATTTAACCGCAAATTATAGACGTTTTTGTTTTTTTGTTACGGTGTAGATATAAACTCACATCATAGATTAAAATAACTAAAAACTCACAAACAGCATTTAAGCAGAATTTAGTTTACTTTAATTAACAAGTCCTTGTAAGCACTTTGCCTATTCTTATTATTCTTATACTGTGGTGATTAGATATTTACATTCTTACATCAGCATAGATAACATTTGGAAAATATGGATTATTCTGAAAGAGATATTGATGTCAACGGATCATTCTTCTGGTTGAATGAAGGTTTAATTAAAAATATGACAACACAGGCATATAATTTTAAATAAAAACTCAAATATAGACATGGACCCATATTTATATTTGCTTAGTGTTAGTTAGCGGTCAGCAGGTTCTTGTCTATAAAATCAGTTCTGAACTTCCATCACTTTTGCTCTATTAATATATCTAAAATATGTTTTTAATACCTTTTTGGTGTAAAAATCATATGATTTGAACGCACTTCAATCTGGAGAAGATTATAGTAATGAAATGTGATTGATATTGCTATGTAGGTCATTAATGTTACAAGTCATGCATCCATTCATTGTGTTCTACCCAAGGTGTGCTGGTGCTTATCTCTAGTGGTCAATGGCGAGAGGCGGGGAACACCCTGGACACGCTGTATCTGCAGTGGACCCTGCAGAGCAGCACCTGCGTCACTTTCATTATTCACTGTAAAAAGTTGCACCTTTAAGGAAGCAGAGGCTCAGAAAAGAAAGTAGCTCAAATCTAATTTTTGGTTGTAAAATCCTATCAGCAAAAGAACATGTTCTCCAAACCAGACCAAAATCTTCTGGTAACTTCCTCCTCTATCCAGTGCTGTTGCAGAAAAACCCCTCTGGCCTGGCCCTGAGTTTGGGGTAGTTTAATAATGCTCTGCAATGCCTGGAATGTCAGCCTAACTCCAGTTCAAAAAGACCAGCCCTCAGCCTCTAAACCAGTGGATTACCCAGTCTACATATAACTGCTCATGTCACGAGATTTAGATTTGTTTATTCTCTTGCCTAATCAATCCTAACTTAAGCGGTCATCTGTATGTGTGTTCTAGTTTAGCTTCCATGTAACATGAAGGAACGAAATACTTAGATTTTTCTCCTCAGGGACCCCACCCACTTTCCCTCTGTCCAGCAGACCCCTGAGGTTTGGGCCGAATTAGATCACACGCTTGGTGGGGGTGGCTTTGTGGAGTATGAGACTCACAGAGAGACAACAATGGCTCCAATGTGAGAGGAGCAGATTCAGAGGGTAGCATGCAGGCTGATCGAGGCTTATCGCTGTGGAGACCAGGCTGGGGGCTATGTTGGCACTTTCTCATAAGGGTTAGGGTTGTTGTCCCCTGCCTGGATGAATCTGAGCATAAGAGCCTGGGAACAAGATTGTGTAAAATGCTTTGTTTTATGGTGATTATGAAGACGGGTTGAAATGACCAATGGAGGGTTGGGTGGTCAGTACTGCCATCTTGTGATGAATTTATCCTTTTCTGCAATTTTACAGATGCAAAAAACAGAGCTCTGCCTCTGATACTCAGGTCTTTTGCATTTGCAAAGCTTTAAGATGTTGATACAAACATTAGCTGATTGCTCATATTAAATAATATTGTTTATTTAATATCCTACAGAATGTAGATGCTTGCTATATTTCTGAGGTTTCCAAAAGCCTGCCAGCCATTTTGAAATTCATCATGTTGCAACACAGACAGAGGTTAAACCCAAAAAATAGTAAATCATAACTCTGCTGTAATATGTTCAGCCTTCTTCTTGTTATTTTTGAACTATTTCCTCAGATTTTTTTAAAACACATAATGGTGCTATAAGGAGCTAGCAGTGTCCACGCTGTAGAGTGTTGTTGCTACTGTAATCTGATCTTTCTAAAGTATTAATCACGACTAATTAAGCAGAGAATCATTTGACTCTCTCATTCTCTCTGCATTTTTGTGCGTTGACTCTTTCTTTCTTGGTCCTTTCAGGTCTATTGAAGATGCACTGGTCTCCGGAGCACGGCGCCCCTTTATCTCAGTGGCCTGAGCAGCACTTAGATGTGACATCCACCACCTCCCCACAGTCTGCCCACAAACAAGACCCCTACAGTACTGCTGCCCGGCGCACCTATGCCCCTGCTGGGTATCCTTGGGCCAGTGACGACATATCTGCTCTTACAGCTTCTTCGCTGCTCAAGCGATATGCGGAGAAGTACTCAGGTCTGGAGTTGTCATATGAACGCCCTGCTACAGGCGCCTACTCTGAGTCTGGAAGTTTCCTAAAAACTGAAACCGAGCCCTGGGCTCTGAGCCAAGGCATGGATTGCTACCCCGGACTTGAGGCACTAACTGGCTCCAAAGTGGGGTCTGCCTCTGTAGGAATCCCGGCCACAGGAAGTGTAACATTAGTGAGTAGTAACTTGGTCACGGAACCAGGCTATGGTGGCACTACGTCCTGCAGTGCCCCATCATCTCAGGAATACCCTCCTGCCTACAACAGCACCTATCTGTCGCCTGGATACTGCCCTCAGCCCAGTGCAGCACTTCCACCTGCCCCTCTGCACACCTTGCAGGCAACCCCTACTCTAGTGCCAAGCTACAGCACCAGCACTCCAGTCTACAACTACCCACCGGGTTGCTACCCCCAAACGAGCCTTTCTTCTGGATACAGCCACCCCAGTGCCTCCTATCTTCCCTCAGGAATTAGCGCTCCCACACCTCTACCCCCTCGGCCTACCGTGGTCGGAGGTAGTTATAGTTACCCATGTCACAACCTTGGAGGGAGCGCTGATGGAGGTCTTAAACGCAAGGCCTTTGAGATGACAGATGAAGTACAGGAGGAGGTAGAAGCAGAGGGATCACGCTACAAAAAGTATGGCAATGGTCCAGGAAACAGTCACAGCAAAGGTAACGGTAATAGCCAGGCCAATGGCTATGATGTTAGCCGTCCTGCCAATGACCAGCAGACCTACAAACCTGGAAAGCCCCTGATTTCACCTCCATACAACAGGGCAGGGAACTATAGCCCACCGTCAGGCCTTGCCGGGGAAAGCGTAACAGGGGAGCACAGCTTTTCTCAGCAGCAAAGAATGTCTGTGAAGATACCTGCATCTCACACACGAGCTGAGGACACCACTGGTGGCCACTGATGATCCCTATCAACGTCAGGGAGGAGTACCTAAAGACTGAGGGGTTCTGGAACGACACTGACTTGTTCTGCAAAAGGCGGAATCTCTCTGGCAAACACAAGAGGGCACAAGACTTCTATTTCTTGTGGATGTCCATCATTTGTCTCTCCTCATATTTTTCCAAAGATTCACAAGTGTTAGGTTGAGATATTCTCTGCATAGACAGTCTAGATATCAGAGTGTCTTTTTCTCTCAGGATCTTATCTATTTCCTTTTGGCTACTTGGTGTGGTTTAAGAAGTTGGTGTATTAATTTGTGGCCATTATTTGTGTAAAAAGACCTTTGACTGCAAAAATGCTCTTTGGCACCACAAAAAGACCAAAAAGGAAAGCAAGCAATAACTAAAATGTTGAGATTGCCGTTCTACTTTAGCATCATCACTGATAAATCTGACTGCAGGCCTTGGTGTGTCATTGGGCCTTGGGAGATTAATATCATAATTTTCTCTCCACCTCCTTTTGCATTTGTGTCCTATTGTGGAGACCTATTTTTTTCTGCTTAATAATTATCAATGCTGAACAGTTTAAATATGCATACAGTGCTGTGATAAAATATTTGTTTCAGATTTCTTCTAGTTTTACATTCAGGTCAATTAAACTGTAAATAGCACAATAACAATTTCAAAATGTTGATTTCATTCATTACAGAAAAACTAAAACCAACTTGATCTTTTCTGAAAAACTAATCCTCCATCACCTTTTTTTACAATCAATGAATTTGGTTTAATTCAGTCACATTGTAGTGCTTTAGAGCTTGTAGGCTCTGTTTTAGGTAGTGCCACAGCATTTCAATAAGATTCAAGTCTGGACCCCAATTAAGTCACTCTATCGTATCATTTTGTCAGCCTTTTTGACAGTGTGCTTTGGATCACTGTCCTGAAGAAAAACTAAAATGCACTTGATCTGAAGGTTCCAACCTGACAGCTGGGCTTTCTCCTTCAGGATGTATTGCTGGATTGCAGAGTTCATGGCTCCATCAATTATAGCATGATGGTTGGTCGTGCTATAATGACCAACTATCACACCACTGTGCTTGACTGCTGGTATTATAATGTTCTTTGTAAGACTCACTTTATAAAGGTTCCACTTTCTTCTCCTCTGTGACCAGAATATTCCCCAGTTTTGTGGATTAGCAATCTGATATTTTTGGAAGTTTTGACTTTTTTTTTTTTAATTATCCAGTTCTTTTCTTAACTTAACTTATGAACCTTTAGATGCTGTTTTGGTGAATCGTTGATGCATTTGGAGTAGTTTTGGTAGGTTAGCAATTCCCTGGAAGGTGGGGTACTTTTCACTGTTTTCTCTATGGTTGATGATGACACACTGTGTGTTCCTGGAGTCCGAAGGCCTTTTGTTTCCCATCCGTACCTGAATTTCTTTAGAAGTTTCGTTAGAAATTCAGTATTCATGTCCTCATACAGATTCTTCTTAACTGATTACTTGATTGTACTGGTCTGGTTCTAACTGGAGAAATTGAACCAGTAATAGTGGATAATCATTCTTAATTAATAGGTTAACAAAAGGGGATACATTGATTTTTACATAGGCCCAGGTTGATTTGGACAACTTGCTATAATAAATGAAATCTTCATCAAATCATTATTCTGAATTTACTCTGTTTATGTTTGATTAATATTTGAACTATTCAAGGAGAAATACTTTTTCATAGCACTGTATAAAAATAACTCCAGCAATACATAAAGTCACTGTTTAAGCTTAATTCTATTACCAATGATTTAAGATTTTATTTTCATTCGAATGTATTTAGCATTCAGAAAAATTGCTAAACACAAATATCTGTAGGATGTCTTCTAATGGTGCAGTTACCAGGCACATTTGTGGTAAACTTAAGAAAACATTAATTAGCATCCAGTTTAACATCCAACAAAGATCGTTTGTTGTTTGGATGCTCTTCATGCAGGTTCCAGCGCCTCAAACTCTTTCTGCTCAACATTATAGTCTTTATGAAGAATTGCCTGCTTATCTGCTTTGATTTACTCTTTTTAATATGCAATCTCTTTACTTAACCCTATTAGAAGGACGATTTATAGACATGTTATTGAAAAACTCAGGAAGAATATTGTTACCTCAGAAAGATAAAAGTAAGAATGTATGTTATAACCTTAGGGTGTTGCTAGCGAGCAAGATGGTGAAAGAAAACAGAGCCATGGCTAAAAACTTCAGGGAAACCACACACGTTCATGCCTTCAATAATATAAAATGTCAGCATGCTCGCACAATTGCACACGTAGGCAAACACAATCCCATCCGTTTTATTGCTCTGGGAAACTTGAAGTTTTCTTACCAAGGCCCGAAATGTTGAATGTAATTCAGATTTTTTTTTAAGGACAATACATGCCATAATGTACATCAGTGATGTTTTTTTTAGATATATAAAGCATATTTTCTTTGTGTATAGCTGTAATTCTCCTATAGGTTTTGGTGGAAAAGATGAATGCTATGTTAAGTGTTAGTGTAGTTAGTGTTAGGGAAAAAGGTTTTGCAGACCAACTGTCAAAACAAAGCACTCCTGGTAAAAAACAAAAAACAAACAAAAAAAAAGCATTTCCTTATAACATCTACATCATGTTGGGAACCTGCTAAATGTCTTAATTAGAAGTCAGCAGTTCACTGTAATTTTTTATTTTCAAATCTGAATCAAAATCCATGTTTGAGAAAATGTTGCCCTAGAAGTTATTTGGTGATATTATCTTGAGACTTTGCTTTTCTCCTCAAACACTCAGACATCAGAATAAATGCTCGCCCGTATATAAAAAAATATATATAACTTGTGTTAAAATGTCGCAAACAAATCCTCTTTAACCAAAGCTCTGTACTATTTTTAAGAAAAAAAATAATGGATGAAAGCAACTTGACTAGACTTTTATAAATTTCAAGCGCTTAGCTGAAAGGACTTATACGCTCTTCAGTGTCACACAAACTGCATGTTTTATAGTAGGATACGCACTGCAGCAATTATTTCAAATGTTTTGTTTCTCTGATGCAGAGAAGGATGTGGAGTCAAATCTGAACTTCTGTGTTATCTTTTGAATTCACTCATCATCATTTCTTCCACATTCTCCTCAATGGTTTCTACCTCATTTTTAAGACATTGTACATGGCAGTATTTATTTCATGTCATTTTTAGAGCAATGTTTTTTGCTGTTGACCTGTTTAAATCTACCTCACTACCGACTGTTCTGTCATGTTTTATCAGATGAAAATACACTAAAACAAATCATGCTTGGCTTTCTTCGTTTTTTTTTCTTCTTTGAAAACAAAAGGGGGTTTGGTTCATTCATACAATTTATTTTGTGATATAAAAGGATTTTTCAGTGTTTCTCTTCCTTGATCTTTATTTAACTAATCACTGAGTGAACTAACACAACTTGATAGCTAACAACAAAATAATTCAGTGTCTCCTTAACTTAGAATAGTGCAGAAGACCAAATGAAAAAAGGTATTATACGAAAAGTATGTTCATGTTTATAGCCTCAATTCCTGACTGGGCTTACTTTTGCATGAATCACTGCTTCAGTACATCGAAGCATTGAAACAGTAATTTATGCAAAAGGAGGTAAAATGTTTTACTCTCCACTCTTCCTCCAGATTCTGGGATCTTGGTTTCCACATTACATCCGAAGCAGAAAAATGTCATAAAACAATAAAATTCTGAACATATCCTACATTCAGGATGAAAGACTATGACACAACATGAAACCTAATCTCACAGCCTCCTACGATGGCTATTGATGAGTCAGCCAAAAGATGTACATGTAACTATATAGTCAGAGCTAGACACATGCTTGGTTCAGATCCAAGCAGAGGCTTGTACAACATTAACAAGAAATCATCCTGATCCGAAGACTCAAATGTTGAGTTTTTATATGTGTTCTGTTTCTTCTTGCGTCTGACAAACAAACCTTTTCAGAAGAGAACGTCAAACATGGTAACATCTATTGATTGCTTCAGGATTTAGATGCAGAGCAGAAAATCCTTCAGGAGAAAACCTGCTGTAAGTTTGTGACTTTAAACTCAGGTGTACTGATCCAAAACTACCCAGAAAGATCCAGAAGAAGAATTAATCAAAACCATTCTGCAAAACCGAATGAAGCTGGATGTTATGTAAGACACTCATCGCAAGTTTTGACAAAAGTTTTACGACAATTGATGATCTGCAACACCAGAAGGGGACAAACACTCACAGTATGGCAAGTTGGTGTTTTTCAGTGACTTCAATCCTTGCAGTTCACTAGAGGGCGTTAGAGAGCTGTAAGAAACCACCAGTTTATTATTATATCTGCTTTATTACCGCAGACGTAATAAAGCAGTCCACAGAAGAGTTGCAGTTGGAACAGTTAAGCTATAGAAATACAAAATTAATGTAAAAATTAATATGGCATATTTTGTCATAATTAATGCAAGCAATGAAAGACTGTTGTTTCAAGGCTGTGCAGGAGTTTTTATGTGGGGCAGAAGCTGAATTGATCTACAAATATCCCCAGAGGTGGGATAAAATGCAAAATTCAGATGGGACGGGCTCTGATTCACTTACAGACTTATTAAAAAAAAAAACACATTTATTAAAAGTATTTGCCTATTTTGCTCTGCATTTTGTGATATTAACATCCTGTGCATGAAGACAGAAGTCATGCTCCACGGTTGCATGCAGGGAGAGACTTTGGTCAGAAAGGAAAATGGCTGTTTTGTGCTTATTTAAAGGAAACCACCTGACCGAGTCAGTTGCTCATGACTCAGATTACACCAATTCCCCCAAGAACATCGTCCATCTCTGAAAGCCCCCTTACATAAACACACAGTCTACCTCTGCACTTCTCAGATTGGCTGCCCAGCAGATCTCGCCAACGACCCACTTAATCGATGGCCCACCTCTGTCCTACATTCAGGTGGATTTTTAAAAAGACAGAACCTTACCAAGGATAGAAATTCAACCAGAATGGTTTGGAGTAGATATGCATATGAAGAAATAAAACAACAGATTTATGCAATTATCAAAGAAATGAATACATTTTACATGACTCTCACTGATGCAGTGTGAAACAGAGTCAAAACAAACAGCTGGATCATTGGTAACGGGAAGCTGAAGGTTAAACCCTAAGCAGAGCACTTGCTTTTGACCGCATGAGTCTGTGTTCATTGTTCTCACTTACGTTCCTTCTCCCTGAAGTGGCTGCCTCTCCCTCTGATTTGCTTGCTGTGGGTAAGTAGGTGCTTTACAGTGCACTGTACAGTCTGAGCCTGTTGGGAACATGCTGCTGACTCAGCCCAGGCCACTGCATTCATCTATCTGCACTGCAGTGCTCTCCCTCTGCCTCTCTGCTTACCCCCTTCTCACTGCTCCCTCATTCAGTGCTCCACACAAACACACAGCATAAGGTGGGGAGAGACGCCCATGCACGCACACACACCTGCCATTTGAGCATTGTGACATGCCTGAACACATAAAGCTGTAGGGCCTTTTCAAAAGGATTCATTCCTCTTGGATTCACTTTATGCTAAAAGCACAAACTATTTACAAAAAATAAATAAATAGATTTCCTTTCTTAGACTAACAAGAAGTTTTCCATAATTGTGATGTATAAGGAACTATTTTAGTTTTGGTTGACAAGAATCTGAAAAGTGTGGTGTGCAGTGCGTTTGCCGCCTGTTAATAGTAGCTATCCACCCTTTGTTGCAGTTGTTGTTACATGTTTGTTCCAGTTTCGCCTCGTCACAGACTGTAAGCCAACATCAAGCTCAGTCAGATTGGAATGAAAGCATTTGTGAGCATAAATTTTCAGAATTTCGCAGAAGGTGTGGGCTTTGACTGGACCCTTCTGCTTGGATCTAAACCATTCCTGTGTCTAGCTCTGTCTGCATAGCTACATGTACATCTTTTGGCTGACTCGCTCATCAAAGTTCATTTTAGGAGGCTGTCAATTTAGGTTTCAAGTTGTGTCATACTCTTTAAATTCATCCTGAACTTAGGATATGTTCAGAATTTTGGTTTATTGTTTTATATTTCTGCTTTAAATTTCTCTGCAGCGTCATCCCTGACCCGTCTACAGTCTTCCTTGATCTTCATGATGTTTTTTCTCTAATATTCTCTAACAAACCTCAGAATCCTGGAATTATATTGAGATTAATTTGTAACCGTTTTAAGAAAATTAATTGCATTAGATTAGATTTAAAGGCACCAGAGTTAAGTGGACTCAATACAAATGTTCGCCACATTTATATTTTTGTTACTACTGCTTCTCTATCACATAAAATCTCAAATAGGAAGATTTTTATATCCCAAAAACGACACAGGCCACACAGATAACTGGAAGGCTGCTTTATTGTTTGGAAATAGGTTCGTGCTCAAATGAAGACATTCTTTCACCGATTTCTCACTTAATTGTCCCATGTGGTGTGCAACATATACCCTCTTTGACTGTAACAGTTTAAAGAAATGACAGTCAAAAGTTGTTCTTTTTTTCTTTTTAGTTAAGCTATTTTCAAAGAGAAGAAATTTATCTCAGTCATGCTACAAAACAATGGCCTCATATACTGATTGATAAATCAATCTCTGAACAAAAAACAGAAGAAAAGAAAACAGAAGTGTAAAACAGAAGGCAAGCTGTTGTCTCCCTGGCTGACGAGCCAGCAACACAACAAAACACAGAGAGAGAGAGCACTTCCTACAAGACTCTACACGATGTTAGTCCAGACAGTCTACGCTACAGGTGGTGAGTTTTCAGTTCGCTTCGAACTCAGCATGTCGTCATGCTCCGTTTTTGATTCGCTCTGAGGGTGATCTTTGTTGCAGGATTTATCAATAGAAAGCTAAAAAGGCACGTGCCGTTAAGAGATATTGCACCATAAACAAACATACAGACAGTTAAGACAACTAATCCTTAAATTGTTAGATATACCTTATTAAAAGTGTCAGCAAAAATCAAGGATCAACTCTAAGCTGCAGCAAATGTGTTAAGGTTAAGGGTGGGGGCACATGAAGAGTTAGGGGCTGCAGCAAGCAATTGAAGTGATCTGGTCAAACAGCAGTAGCCTACAAACAGGCCAAAATTAGTGTGCATGTCTGTGGTGTGTGTGCCATTTTGCATCTGTGTACACAAAGTGGGGAAACTACAGGGGCAAGACATCTTCACACACGTACAAAAAAGAGAGAGGGCCATTGTGCGTGTGTGTGTTGGGGGCAGGGGGGTAATGGGGCTTGGTATGCTGGTAGTGCAATCCTCTCACCAAGGCAGGCTCCACAAATCTCAGCAAGCAGCCAGTACAACATCATGCATTGTAGGCCGATACTCGATACTGGGGAAAGTCCCGGGAAGGCCAGACTTTAGGAAACTCTCTGAGCATAACGCACAAAGAAAGAAGCAGGATCACTTACACTCAGTGGATCTGGTGTCACCTCAATGAGAGTGGTCAGGAGAGTTGAGTTACAGACATGGTTCTGACATATATATATATATATATATATATATATATATATATATATATATATATATATATATATATATATAATGTATAATAATAATGTGTATATAAAAAAATTTATCTGTAATATATATGTAACACAGCTCTGAATATGTGAATTTTGATTTATACAGCTTTACACACAATTTACTGCTTTTTAATATAGATTCTTTTCACTTATTTCCTTCTTTATTATGAAAAGTGACACAAACAAAATCTACACCTTTTAACAATGCATCACAGCCTAACAAGAGTGACAAAGGGGCATCAGCTGGAAGCCATTCTATTTATGGTTATTTATATTTAGAGTTAAAACTAATAGCTGTAGTTTTTTCTTTATGGTAATCCTGTATTTACAAAAATAATAAAAAAAAAAAAGCAACAAAAAAAAAAAACTACACATGCGCTTAAAATTATATATTACATTATTTATAGTTCATTTTAAAAAAATTATAGCTTTTGCAGTTTGTGCCCTATAGAGCATTTATTTATAAATTTATGTAATTATCGATTAAATTTTATTTTTTTCCCCATCACAATAATCTTGGAGATGTTGGAGAAAATGCACGGTGATAGCTTTATGCTTGTCATTCAGATTTTTATTTGGTTCAAGTTGACACCCACACTGATTCTGGAGATCTCATGCAGCAGCTGGAGCATGGGAAATAACTGATGAGGGGGGCTTATTCACAAACAGGGAAGTGACATCGCTGCACAGCAGGAAGTGCAAATGCTCCGGGTTGTGGTGCTTAGGTTCACAGTAC